CTTCGATTATAGGATTGTACGACCGCAAAACCCAAGATTCGATACCCGAATCTATAAGCAACTCGCATGGGTAACCTAAAACAAAACAAAGATAAAAAAAATAGAAAAAGAATTTAAATATGATTAGAACGAACACTAACCCTTTTTTTAGACATATCACTGAAAACGTATGGAGTAACATAATGGTATAAATATGATTAGAACGAACACTAACCCTTCTTTTTAGATATATCGGTGAAAACGTATGGAGTAACGTAACGGTAACCCGATATTCCGTTTTGTTCCACATTCGGACTCGAGAGATCGCAAGGTTCATCCAATGAAGACGAATAACCGCCAGTAAAAGACTAGTTCTCTAAACCTAGTATGGTATTTAATAAACTTTTAAAAGAATAGGTAGTATATATATATACATCATTATTAACTTTTAGAAGTTTAAGCCTATACCCATTGAAGTAGACAAAACTTCCCAAGAAATCATCACTTTAGATGGATGAGCAAAGCTGTAGTCACAAGAACACATGGTTAGTATTGAATGCAAGTAAACAAACATCTTGAATTACTATCAAACAGTTTCATATATATATTTGATTGTGCCCCACTTTTTGTTTTTTTTTTGTACGAATTGGACCCTCTATATCCAGATTCATTCGATCCATTAACGATTTCGATAAAAATTTCTCTAGAAAAAAAAACGAAAAAAGGAATAAACAAATCAATAACGACCAATCAGAATATAACGTTAGTTGACCAATCCCAAAATAGAAGTCTTTGTACCCACCACCGCAGCCTTTGGCTGGGAAACACTGCGGTTCAAACCCTTGACTCTTATCAGAGGGTCCTTTCTCACCGGTAAGATGGCCTCTTGCTCCCCATTTGGTCTCCTCTCTCCCAAAATCTTGCAAAAGATCAATGGAAAAGAAGCTGCAAAAGACAGTTTGAACAATCTGCTGACTACTTGTTTTGTTGACCCATTATCAACAAAGAATCATCTCACCCCCTGCTTGGTGAAGAACGTTTTGGGTAGCTTAACCACCTCAGACGCGTTTTGTGTCACTGGGTCGAAAAGAGTCCTGTAAAAGGTTATAATCTAGTTTAGGTGTCTCAAAAAGTCGTATAATTCATGTCTCGCTTCTCATACCATGAAAAAAGGGAAAAGATCTGGTTTCGTTCAGTTTCAGACCGGTCTCGTCAGACAGGGAAAAAGAACCAGTTGTGGCAGAGCAGCCCCCCCCCCCCTCGAGTCTCTAGGATTTGTGTGTCTGCACTAAGTAACACTAAGCAGTTTGAAAAACACAAGCTAACCCTCATAGCAAGAGTGACATATACGGAAAAGCAAAGAATCTGGTCTCGGGTACCTTGCCTATTAGACCTATGGAAGAATGTCTTCAAAACCTCTACTAGAGCATTCAGTTCATATCTGGGACAGGGCATGTTCCAGTTCCAGTTCAACAATGAAGAAGACTTAAAAATTTTTCTGACTAACAGACCATACCACTTCGCTAGATGGATGGTAATACTTCAGAGATGGGAACAGATGCTTGACCCAAAATTCCCATCGCAGATCCCGTTCTGGATTGAAGTCCAAGGAATTCCTGTCCACGGGTGGACAGAGGAAACAATTAGAAGTATTAGGGAAGACAATGGGATCTCCGAAGAGCTGGATATCACCCCAACAGCTGCAAGAATGAGGGTCCAAGTCAATGGTCTCCAACCACTAGTCATGACCTCTATTGTGGGATACCCGAACGGAGAAGAAGTTACAGCATCCTTGATCTGTGAGAGACTAGAGAAGTACTGTAAGATATGCTTACGGTTGGACCATGAGAGGGAGGACTGACCTCTGATTCCTACTGCACAAAAATCACATCAACATCTATCAACAATTGCTCTTGTTAAAGAAGTTGCGAAAGAGCCTGAACACCCTCACCCGAATACCGCAAGCTACAAAACCAACTCCAAAAGGATTAAGAATCAATATGGGGAAAGGAAGGGTGCTGAAGGAAGAGAATCAAACCTGATATCCTCAAGCTCAACGCACATTCACGCAAGTAACCATGGGAATGAGTGGAGAAAAGTAAATCCTGATAACCCATATTCAAACTATCATAACCATGGGGAATCATCACAGGTACACAATTAAAATCAAATCAGAGCTTGGCAATCAAATCATCATCACCACAGGATTAAAAGGCCGGAAGAGGTGACCCAATGGAGATCACCATCGCGGCAAGTATGGGTGGAAAAGAACAGAAGAGATCATACCTTACAGTCTCCTATGCGATAAATGAGGGAAATGACAGAGTCATCTAGATCCCACATATCTAATAGAAGCTGTGAAGAAGCTAGGGAGATCTCGATAACGGAAGTACCATCCCAAGGCTTTGAAGAAGCGATGGGTGAACTCAGAGATGTTATGATCAGATATGCTAACTGTCCCGACCCTACAAAAAGTGCTGCAAGAAAAGAACGCATATGGTTAGTGGAGGCAGCTGGAGAGTTCAAGGAAGTGGCTGCAAACATGGTAGAGCATCTCAGGATAAATCTTTTCCTGTGGAAGAAGAGATAGAAGGGGAGGTAGTGTCTCAAGAAAGAATCCCAGCAGTGCTTCACCTTGGTCCTCCGAGTAACGAGACTGAAATCAGCGAACCTACACCCACTCTTGAACCAACAAAGAAAAAGAGAGGAAGACCTGCAGGTACGAAAAAATCCCATTTCAGCCCTTCAATTCTCCAAGGGGCAGAATAAAAATAAAAGGATCTTCCAATCAAATGGATCCCCAAGAAGGAGATTACCGACAAGAAATGCCTCTCGTAATGAGGAGAATGGTACCACAACTTATCAGACTGGAGAATCAAGTAGAAGAAGCTCACATCACGGGAAGGGACGTAACGATACTCAACCTCCTAGAAGCAATATCATCCCAGGAATCTACAAGAGGCCAATGGATTTTCACAATCCGTCAAGCCGTCTTCCTTAAAGCTAACACCGTATTTGACCACTTTTATAGATCGATTTTAAATAATTTTTCAATGCTTTTGTATTTCTTTTAAGTATTTGTATTATTTTTTTCTAGTATTTGTAGTTTCAAGACTCTTTTCAGGAAACTTATAAAAAAGCCTAGCAAAATTGATAGAAGACCAGATTTTCAACTCAGAGTCAAACCGTAAAAGTTCACCATGAAATGAAAAATTTCTCACCGTCTGATCCAGCTCAAATTTGGAGACCTTAAGATGGAACAATCAGCTTTCCAGCACACCTGACACCAAGACAATCCAACGGTTCAATCAAAAGTTACGCAAAGAGCAAGATGTCCCGTCAACTAGCCGACAAGCATTCGTGACTGCGGCCAGCACCCATTTTACACCGGTCACGTCTCCTCTGAATGTGGATAATAGTCTGTTTGGCATAGAAGCCTATTTTCAAGCCCAAATCGATTCTCTCATTTGGAGAAACCCTAAATGATGTCTAGAAATGACTTAAGCACTATAAATACATGTTTTAGGAACCCTAAGTCGTATGTATTTTATGCTTTTCATATTTTTCATTCTTTTGAGTTGTTTTAGCTTTTAGGTTTAGGGAGGTATAGATCTATCTCTTGAACCTTTTTTTTCTTTTCAATATCGATTTCTATTCAGTATTTCAATACAATGTTTTTGCTTTCTATAATCATGTCTGAGTAATTTATTTGTTGGATTTAAGGGATTTTCGATAGGGATTATATATGTTCGATGAGGATTCCATTAGCTATTAAAGTCTAATCCTAGAATTTTTTTTTCTAAACTTATTTTTAATGCATGGGAGTAGTGTCATGAACAATAATCTGATGTAAGTTTGTAGTGTTGCGAAAGTTTTTATTAGGGGTCAGATCTAGTTTGAGAAGAGCAATTCTGCTATGGGATTGGAAACCTACCTATGGGTGAGTTGTAAATGTAGTTGACTCTAGTGAAAGATTGCGTACACTCACTTTCGGGGCCACAGTGGAAACCTTCTGGTCAGGGTTGTTGGCGACAGTTGGTTGCGATCACAACAGTGATGTAGTCATACCTTCGAGCTCGAGTTCTAAAAGTTTTAGCTAGGATCTTTAAATTACTTTTTAGCAATATTTTTAATTGTTCATACCCCGGAGATAATTTTCCTGAAAACCCAGCTTCTCGTTTTAATAGTCTTACATCGATTTTCATTCAAGCTTTTTGCGTTAAGTCTTTTCTTTTTTTTCCAGCCAATTTTCTTAAGTTTTAGCATTAGATCATTTTTAGTTTTAATCGTTTCTTCCTATTCTCGTTTAGTTTAGGATTTACGTTTTAGTGACACCCCAAAACCCCTCTAAAATATCGATTAGTTTTAGACTTCCTTGCTTTAATTTATTTCAAAGGTTTTTGCAGAAAAGATCATCCTTCACAGTGGATTCGATTAATAAATACTACAATCAATTAGTTATTCATTTGCAGCTTTAATTGATTCTATTAGGCTAAAAATTGATATCCTTACCGCGACAACATCAAACTGCCAAGAGCTGGGGGCTTTAATATCTTTCAAAGGTTTTTGCAGAAAATATCCTTATTCCTTGTGGATTCGATCTCTAAGTACTACAGTCGATTAGCTGTGCACTTGCGGCTTTAATTGATTCTATTAGGGTAAAAATTGCACCCTTACCGCTACAACATCAAAGTGCCAAGGGCTAGGGAATCCTTGGACAGTTCATCGCATGAAGAAAATAAATAAAAAAAAAACATGATTTCCCGGATATACTTTTCCTCATGGAGACAAAAAATTCAAATCTTTTTGTTCTCACCGAGCTAAAACCGTTGGAGTATGAGAACAACGTCTTGGTTCCACCAACCTCTCCGGGAAGTGGAGGACTATCTCTGTTTTGGAAAAAAGAGGTTGACATGAAGATTAATATCCTCTGTGGTAACTTTATAGATACCCAAATAAAGTTTAAAGGTAAAACTTTATGTTCTACCTTTGTCTATGGGCACCCGAAAAAGTCTAAAAGATGTGCAGTGTGGAACCATCTCTCTAACATTGCTGCAAACAGAGAAGATTCATGGTTCCTGACAGGAGACTTTCATGAAATTGTAGACAATTCAGAGAAAGTGGGAGGACCTCGTAGGTCTGAAGAGTCTTTTGTGTATTTTTGAGTTTTCATGTCTGAGAACGACCTGTATGATCTTCAACACCATGGAAATCCCCTTTCCTGGAAAGACACCCGAGGTAAACACAAAGTTAGATGACGCTTAGACATAGCAATGGCAAACAGTGCCTGTTTGAGGTATTCCCATATGGAAGAACAGAATACTCACTTTTTGAAGCCTCTGACCACAGACCACTGATCACAAGCTTCTCACCTGGAAAGAGGAAGTCAGGTCTATTTCAGTATGACAGAAGTCTCAGGAATAATGAAGAGGTTAAGAAACTTATTTTGGAGGCCTGGACAGTTAACTCCTAAGCGACTGTTGAGCAAAGAATCTCCAACTGCAAAAAGGTCATTATTTAATGGAAGAAACAAATTACCATATCAATAATAAGAAGGTGATTGAACTGAAACACAGAGAACTAGAAGAAGCAATGGTGGACCCTGCCCTCAATGACCTGCTAATAGAAAATATCAACTCTGAACTAAAGAAAGCCTACCAAGCAGAGGAAGAGTTTTGGAGACAAAGAAGCAGATAATTGTGGTTAAATCCTAGAGACAAAAACAGCAGCTACTTCCATACAGCCACTAGGAGTCGCAGAGCAAGAAATAACATTGTTCTTATCGGGGTGGCTTTTTCACTTTGATATTCTTTTTATTCGTTATAACAGATAACGAAATAGAAATGCAAAGTAATACACATATTTACGTGGTTCACGAACAATAAGTTGGTCACGCCCCCACGAAATGCCCCATGCTATTGCAAGCAACGCATGATCAGATTTAAGGCATACAACATTAATTTTGAAAACTTCGTCTTACATCACGAACAACTTATGACATTAGAGACTAGTTATCAAAGCAAAAGCTGAAAACGAAAGAAAACCAAACTCCAAAAGTCGACCTTACTTAACAAATGGAATTACCAAGTCATGAAAATAGGGCTTCCTTGGGCCACAAGCAGCAGTAGCACCCACAATACCCAAGTTCTCACCATGTCCATCCACAACATCCAAGTTCCCAAACCCGTCCCCTATGACATTGTTTTGGTTCATAGTAGTAGTTACAGGTATGTTTACCGGAGCAAATTTCCCTTGTAACTGCTCCTCCAACGGGTTAGGGTTATTATAGCCATTGGTTGTTGATGAATATATCATCAGATGAGGAGTATAGAACACATCACCACCATCGCTGCTGCTACTGCTACTGTTATCTTCGAGTATAGACATAATCTTTTTCATATCGTGTTGGTCAAATTGAAACAGCTGCCGTTCTTGTTGCAACTCCATTTGTCTCTGTTGCTTGAATTGTTGCCTCTTTAAGAGAAGACTCTTTGTCTTTTCAGCATTGTTTTTTCCTTTTTTTTTTGAACCATAATAGTTTTGCTGTTTGTTCCGTTGTTGAAACTCCGGATCCAATGTCAATCGTGGCATCATTCCACCTGTCTTTTCAGCATTGTTAGTCGCTGGCTTTGCCTTTTTCTTGAAATGGGTTCTCCAGTAGTTCTTGATCTCATTCTCTGTTCTTCCTGGTAAACTACGTGCAATCGTCGACCACCTATACAGAACCCTAAGACTTAAAACTAAACCCATCGAGAAACCGTAAAAGGAAAAGAAAAAAAGAGACTTAGCTATGTTTTCATGGGGTCGAGGTACTTTACCTGTTGCCCCACTTCACGTGTAGCTGAAGTATTATACTTTCTTCATGAGGAGTGATCTGTCCTCTATTGAGGTCTGGTCTAAGGTTATTCACCCACCTTAGTCTACAGCTTTTACCATTCCTCTTCAATCCTATTGATCAAACATTCGTGAATCAATCACTGTCTTGTCAATTAGGGTACGATTGATTTAAATATTAATTATATAAAGTGTATGCCTTTACGTGTGGATTTTAATTTGTTTTTAAAACATTTCAAGGTATAGAACTTTTTTTGGTTTTCATAAAATATTTATACAAAGTGCATAAAACAATAGAGAGGTTAATGATGAAATTAAGAGTTGTGGTACCTGCGAGTCTAGCAACAGAGTTCCAACGACCTTCACCGTGAACACGGACGTATTCAATCAAGAGACGATCTTCTTCGCCGGTCCATGCATGGACCTTTTCTCCAAACTTCTTCCACCATTCCGTTCACTCCCCACCAACTCATTCCTCTTCTGATTTTGACTTGATTTTTTTTCTCTATAATTAATCTGTTTGGCTCTTTGGATTTCTCTTGCTATGGAGGCTCTGTGCTGCTCTGCTTTGATGTGTTATGTTCTTATATATGCACTGACTTCAGCCTTCTTTGGTCCACCACTTCTCTCCCTCATTATCTTGTTGTTTTTATGTATAAAGAAATGGTGAGTGAGATAACAAAAATGAAAAAAAAAATGTTTAAATTGTTCTTATTTATATATAAGACAAAACCAGACTCAATTTGTTTTCAGCATATCCTACCAAAGAAAGAAAAATAGCACCAAGGAAAGAAAAAATATGACATTTAAAAGGCATAAATTGAATTTTAATAAGAGTAAGCTTTAGGACATTATATATGTAAACTAGGTACCGGTTTGGATCTCTATATCGTTTTAGCTATCTAGGCTTTTGACAAAAAAAAAAAAAGAACAAAAAGAGTTCATATGTTAACAAAGAATAATACGTGATGAGACAAGTCAAAATGAAACAAAACTTACATACAACTTATAGTCATAGAACACAGATTCTGGTCAATTATATTAATTTCATGCATTGAATTTGGAGTATCATTAAGTCTGGAAAACATGGTAGTATGACAAAACTAATATATTAAATGATCATTATATCATCAATATTTTACAATTTGTGATTACACGTTTTTGAGAAAAAAAACTATAGATTTGAACACTGACTTTATTGTAACTTTTGTTGGATTTACTGCATAGAAATGTTAAGATATATACATAAATTATGTGCGTAGTATGATTGAAGAAATAAGACTCTGGTGATTTGTTACACCAATGGAACTTTTAGTATAATTACTATAATAACGAATTGGCTATAGAAACGAAAGATAATAGATAAAACCAGTCCCGATTTAAAAAGGTTAAAAAGTTCAAACTGCTCACCTTCATCAAATCAACTTCAAGCATTAGCTAGCTTAAATACTAACAATATCTAAAAAAATATCCAGAAAAATAGATCTTTATGTATGGTTAAAAGCACATACTTCTCCGGCTTCTACAATGTACTGCAACTGATCTAAACGAAAGATGTAATATTACATAATGTAAGGCACATCTGCGTTTTGAACGATCACATATGATGAATAATACAAACATTGGTAAGAATCCATTTGTAGCCTTTTGTATTCTCACTGACATAATGGTTTACAAGTCTAGGGATCTCTTTTGGCCTACGTAAACCATACATTTCGTTTTCAAAACCTTTTTCACCACTTCTTTCATGTATTTCTCTGTTGTGCCGTTGAACGATTTCAAAAAAAAGACATGATTAATTTATAGATATGACTTTAGTTGATTAATTACATTTTTCCTCGTTTAGATAACCCTTCGAGATAATGATTATCACTAAGAATATTACAAGTTGGTCGAGTTAAGCGCATCATCAATTAAAAAGTGTTATTGTATAAATCTATTGTAGATACGGATATCTATATATATATATATATTACTACAAGAAAACACCCCTTTTACGGTAACGAAAAATGTTGTAAAATCATTGTTAATCAAGCTTACCATCAAATTAGCGACGAAATCGAAATCGTTACTAATTGCGCAATTTCATCATCTAATTGTCGGTAAATGTACGACATCCAAAATTGAACGTAAAATCGTTAGAAAAATCTTCGTAAAAGCAATGTTAAATTCCCGACGAGTTTACGAGGATTGACATAGTCGTTGGACATTCGACGCCCAATCGTCATAATCACAAATCAAACTGAATTCAACGTTAACTAGTCGAATTAAAATCGTCGTTAAACTATGATGAATTACCATCGATATATAAAAATATATATAAAACATCAAATTAAATTTAAATAGAAAATAATATAAAAATGTGAAATTCTGAAATTTAATAAATATTTTCATATCAAATATTTTTATTACAATAAATTAAAACAAAACCTATACTAATTATTGAAATCAATCCTGAAGTCGTCGAATTCCTCTCCCAAATGGGTTTTCGGAACTTGTGTTATCTGCCCACCACTAGTGATTGCTCCCTGTCCCGCTGCTCTGGCCGCTTTTCTGCGGCACGCTTCATCTGTTTTGCTCTCAAAGCAGCTGCGACATCAGGATTCCCGATGGCAATGATGTCGAAGATCGAATCATACTCTGAGAGCTCTTCCTGAACCTCCTGTTGATAAGCAGTTTGAGTATCTTCTAGAGTTGCAATCTTCGCCCGTAAAACGATGGGATCAGATTGTCGGCAGGGAGCATATGACGAAGTAGTAGGGACATCTTGAATAGATCTCATCCCTAAGACTCTCTCATTTTTCTTAGGAGTAATCTGCATTTTAAATTAATTTTTAATTAAAAATACAAAAAAGTAATAAGCATAGTATAAGATTTATTCTAATATCTCTTCGAAAATTCGATCAATATCGAGAGTGGTCAATCCTCTAGACTGAACCAAGGAACCAGGTGATAGCTGCTGAGATAGCTGAATCTGCTGCTCGGTAGCCTTGACGTCACTTCATTGTAGATCTGCTCCATTTTCTCTGAAACAAAGGCACCATCCTTCTTTCGGTGACACTTTTCGAAAACATTTGTCATAGGAGAGAATTCATCTCCATTCTCGCCGGCCTACATAAAAAAAGTATTATAATTTTTTTATGAGAACTATTTTAAATTAAACAAATAATATAAATAAAGTTACTTTCCATCTGAAGTTGAATTCCCGCGAATGGTGTTTGGCCAGCCGTATGAGGAATTGTATCTCCACCTCCTTATGCAGTGAAACTTGACTTTCTCGAGAAATTGTATCTCCACCTCCTTATGCAGTGATTCATTCCACTCATATTGTTGCTATAAACAAAAACCACATAGTTAAATATTTGAGTTCAAATTGGCTAATTAAATAAAATGAAGTGAAAAAAAAATGTTGTACCGCAAATATTTGAACCATGCATCGGTTGTATGGGTCGAGAGTTAGGACCAGTTGCCATGCGGCTCAACAAAGTAAGACTTGAAAATATCAGCAACGGTGCGGCCAACCTTGCATTGAGTACCAAACCTAAAACAAATTCCGAAAAACTATCATTAGACGATAAAAATTTGAATAATAATAAAATTATTTTAGCATTGTGCTCTAGGAGAAAGGTCTGGGTCTAGTCTGGTAAGCCTATGTCGGCCGGCTGTGCAAGAATATCGTGGATAATCAAATATGAATAGGGCGCTGGCTGATGTAGAGCTTTAGGTGGTGGAGGTGGAGCAGTCTATGTCTGGGTGGGCAGAACGACATCTGTCTCCGTACCCGAAGAAGACATGGATTTTCTCCCAGAATATGGTCCGGCAGCATCAGTAAAAAAAATCACTGTAATGAGCATGACGGTTCCCTCGCATCTACAATTGACAAATTAAAAATCAATTTGTAAACCAATTTATAAAAAAATCAAATACAAAATAAGATTATCTAATTTGAATCCTAAAATCCATTCCTAATATTCATTCTATTCCTATCAACCTAACAAATTAATCCTAAAATTCATTCCTATTATCTAATTACATTCCTAAAATCTCGTATTTAATCATTAAAAAGGAAAAAAAAAACACTTACCTTGGATTAGCGATGGTTGTAGGCGAGAGAGAGGATAAGTTGGAGAGATTGAAGAATGCGAGCAAATGAGACTGAGGTTGAAGCGCTTATATAGAAGTGATGTGGTGTTGCTAATTTGTCAGTATTTACGATGATTTACTGACGAATCATCGTTAATTCGTTGTAAGAGTACCGACGAATTAACGACGATTTGTCGGTAAATCATCATAAACTAAACTGGGCGCGGGAACTCATATACCAAAATTAAACCGGGTGCAGAAAACTCAAATACCAAAATTTTCAGAAAATTCCCAATGGTTTAACGATAATTCGTTGCTGAATCGTCGTAAATAGTAAATTTACATACAAATATATATATATATATAATTATAATTATATAAAATACATTTATAAAATAATACAAAATATACATAATTATATGAAATAAATATCAATGATTAAGAGTCTTCATTTTCAGATGACGAGTCTTCTGATTCTTCATTATTAAGTTCATCACTTTCCTCAAACTCATCTTCGTCATTTTCTTCCTTTGTATCGTCAAGAAGATATTCAACTTGTCTGTTTTGAAGATTTATCAAGAGTATGGAGTTGGTGCTTTCATTTGGTTCTGCAGGTAAACAAAAAAGACAATCGACCATGCGTAGTCCAATCTGATAACATCCCATAAGCAGGAAAGTCGCTTATTGTCCACATAAGCACAACTCCCATAGTAAAATTATTTTTCCTTGCAAAATCATATTTCCAAACTCCGGTATACCATAACTGCTCTAATTCCTCAATCAGAGGCTGCAAAAACATATCAAAAGAACGCTTTGGATGTTTCTGACAAGAGACTAAAATACTCAAGAATAAAAACTTCATTTGCATACACATATCTGGAGAAATTTTGTAAGGCATTAAGTTTACTGGTCATAAAGAACATTATCTACCTGACATACCAAATGGACTAAATCCATCTGTGCAAAGATCAAGGTATTACATTGCGTTTCTCTTTGCCAAAACCTGTATGTACTGACTTAAACCACGCTTTTGCATCTGACGGATGAGTAGCCTTAATTTCCATCTGTCTGCAAATGATCTGTGTGCCATCTCATTGCTGTCGCTGTCCTTTCAGAATGATACATCCTTTTTAACTGTTCAGTTATATGAAGGTACCACATACGCTGAAATGGTACCTTGCTCTAACTACTACCTTGCGACTTATATCTTGGCTTATGACAAAATCAACATTCCAGATTGTCAACACATACATTTATCATCTTAGAAGGCAACCCAAGACTATAAATCAGCTTCTGGATCTCATAGTAAGTTTCAGCAGCTAAATTATCCTCCGGCAAATACTCTTTAATCAGGTCAGCCCAATTA